GATAATCACATCACCTGGGTGGGAATTGTCATCAATCATTTGTTGAACTTCTGATTCTGCAGCACCAACTGACCAGTCTCTGCACTCATGACTCAAAGTGATAAGAACTGTCAACACAGCTGCTAATTCGTGGTGTTCCACAACTGTCTTCTTAACAACAGCTGTTAATTTATATATCCCACAAACATCACAACTGTTAGTGCATGGTGCTCCACAACAGATGTTAATTCATGGCCACCACTACAACAGTTGATAATTCATGGTGCTCCACAACAGATGTTAATTTATAGCCACCACTACAACAGTTGATAATTCATGGTGCTCCACAACAGATGTTAATTTATAGCTACGACTACAACAGTTGATAATTCATGGTGCTCCACAACAGATGTTAATTCATAGCCACCACTACAATAGTTGATAATTCATGGTGCTCCACAACAGATGTTAATTTATAGCTTCCACTACAACAGTTGATAATTCATGGTGCTCCACAACAGGTGTTAATTCATAGCCACCACAACAACAGTTGATAATTCATGGTGCTCCACAACCGATGTTAATTCATAGCCACCACAACAACAGTTGATAATTCATGGTGCTTCACAACAAATGTTAATTCATAGCCACCACAACAACAGTTGATAATTCATGGTGCTCCACAACAAATGTTAATTCATAGCCACCACAACAACAGTTGATAATTCATGGTGCTCCACAACAAATGTTAATTCATAGCCACCACAACAACAGTTGATAATTCATGGTGCTCTACAACAGATGTTAATTCATAGCCACCACTACAACAGTTGATAATTCATGGTGCTCCACAAACATTGGTACTTCTTGCTATTCAAAAACAATGAGAACCATTGATAATTCAATAAGTGCCCTGAGTACACAAGCTTAGCCCACAGAATGACCAGAATTCCCCGTATAGGCACTTTAAGAAAAGTCTGGCTCTGCCAGGACCTGAATCCACGATCTTCAGATCAAGAGGTGAGTCTGCTAGCTGCTACACCCCTGCAGCTCACAAAGTAAAGCAGCTGGTCCGATACTGATATAATCATCAAGTGTCTACTGGGCGATAAACATATGTGGCACCAGCACAACAAAATGTTTCAATCCCAATTTCTATTTCTGCCTGCCACGCCCCTCAGCCCTAGAAGGAAATATGACAAATGGTCTGCTCTATCTGGCATAAAAAATAAATCCAGTTTTGAACATGTGCCACAACTGTACAGACTCCCGATTCACCAGACCATTAGAGCATTTCACAGTACAGAGCTACATAAAACAACCACCACATAAACATAACATCTATATAAATGAAACAGTCATACAGAGAAGACAGCAACGTTTATATAAATAAAACAAAAGCTATAAACACAACATCTATATACATGAAACACCAGCCGCATAAACATAACATCTATATAAATGAAACAGTCATACAGAGAAGACAGCAACATTTATATAAATGAAACAATAGCTATAAACACAACATCTATATACATGAAACAACAGACACATAAACATCTATATAAATGAAACAGTCATACAGAGAAGACATCAACGTCTATATAAATGAAACAATAGCTATAAACACAACATCTATATACACAAAACAACAGCCATATAAACACATGTATATACATTGGGAAAAAAAAACAATATCTATATAAATGAAACAGTCACACACATAGATAAAACAGCAACGTCTAAACTAATGAAAACATTCAGACTCAAGGATTCACACTTTCTTGTGTATTTATTCTAGTGAAATATCAACTGAAACACAAATTCAGTAGTTCAATGATTACTACCACACTGTGTCACAAAACACAACAATACTACATCCACAATTCTTGTATGAAACTTCCTAATATAGTTCATGCATCAGTCCTTAAGAAAGAGCATAAGGGCTTTTGAGTTGAAATGCTATAGAAAGATTCTCAGAATATCTTGGACAAAGAAGAGCAGAAATATTGACATCTTGAAAGATTGAACATCAAGGAAGATTGGCTAATAAACAGCATCCTGTCTCGGAAGCTGAAATGTTCTGGTCATATCAAGCGCCACGACGGATTGGAAAAAAATAATAGCAGAAGTCATGGTACCAGGAAGGAGGGGCAGGGGCAGCATGAAAATGGGCACAGGATATGAGTGGATGCTTGAGTTTGAAGTACATGTGGTGGGAGAGCTGGCGAGAGACCAAGTTTCTTTCAGGCAGACCGTGATGAGAGCGACATTATGCAAAGGGCCTGCTACAAGATGAGTTCCTGCATTCAACCAAGGTTCTCCTTGTGTAATCTGTTGGAGAATGAAGAACCTGAGATAACCTGATCTATGTCTCAACATCTACAAGACAATTCATGATGGCCATGCTTGCAGTCGAATAAAACCTCACAAATGTTACAATGTCAGAAACACATACAATATGAATTCAGATTTCTAAATGAGAATATTTTTCTCATTTCTCAGTGCACGCAAGATTTAGAATCATGTGCTGCAAGTTTTTGGCACTTATTTTACAACACTGTGTAGACCCTGTGCCATTATCTTTTCGGTTCTGTTCTTTTATTTCACCCCATCTCTGGAGCTCAGAGATTCCCTCTGGAAAGTCCCATATTCTAGGGGTGTTATCACATGACTTTGGTGTTCATACAATGTGCGAAAAAGTGTGTGCACATGGTCGACAAACTGTCTTCCACACAAAAGTGAGCAACTTTCCTGTAAACAACCGTGCAACCAATTTTCTGCGCGAGTGTGTTGGTTGTTTTCAGCAATTTGAGTGTTTACTGCCTCATTATTTGCAGTGTTTACTGCCTCACTATTTGCAGTGTGTGTTACTGTCCCTTGTTCGTGTGAAATGAATACTGTCTAACACTAACATCCCTATACTATGGGACTTTCCCGGGAATCCCCCACGAAATCTCGGAGGCCCCAAGATGGGTTGAAATAAAATAAAAGAACCATATTTTCTGTTCTGCTTTATTAGCATCAGGTTTTTGAAGAGGGATCGAACCAAATTTAACTTTGGCATTATACAGCACTGGGAGTGGCTAGACACTTGCCTGCAAATCCAAAGGGAATGGGTTCAATTCTCATGGAGCCGGATTTTTCAGACATGACCTTGGCTTCCAGGCTGACCCAGCCTTAAATGAGTACCAGGTAGAGTTCTGGGAAGTAAAGACGGTCAGCGTGATGTTGACCATATCACCTGTCAAGGTTGATGTTGTGTCTATAAAAATATGACTTTGGCCTCATATGCCTACTGCACTCCTGGAGTGTAGAGGAATTTTACCTGAGACTGTTTTCAATGTTGGCGTTTATCATCAGAGGGCTGGCTGGTGTTCCCACCACACACAACAAACATTTCTCTCAGCACACACAAGTTTATTTATTCACCATCAGAGGGCTGGCTGGCGTCGTTCCCCCCCCCCCCCCCCCCCCTCACAGAACAAACATTTCTCTCAGCACATACAAGTTTGTTTATTCATTTTAAATACAATAATTCTTGTAAACAATGTGCATGTTTCCCAGTGCCAGACCCAGCCGTCAATCTTCCCAGCTACTGGAGCCACTGACAGGTGGAACAGCCACACACACACACAAATGTTCAAATAAACTAAGCAAGAACATGGATGTTTTTCTATTGTATACTTGTAAATGTTTCTGATGTAACAGCAGATAAATTTTAAAAAAAATCATTCACTTGGTGCTATTTCTAAGAATTTGACTAATCATGCAAAATAAAATAAAAAGAAATAAGTAGCTAATAACAACCAATGTTTTTACATGTTATAATATCCATTCCTTTGTTAGAATTGCCTTCCTGTAATGGTGGGTCAATGTAGTTTTACTGACACTGCTAAAGTCAATGTGATAATTTGCCAGTATGACACCCCCCAACAAAAAGAGACATCTCACATAAAACTTTCATTCTCACCCTAAACAACCAATGCAGACATGGTCACTCACAAGAAACCAGAAAATACAATTAGTAACCATGGACAATGAAAACCAGAAAATACAATTAGTAACCATGGACAATGATGTCTAAGAAAGGCTGCAGGAGTGACTAAAGAGACAATCAGGAATTAAATCAAAAGACAAAGGTCAATACAAAACAACTGTAAATTACATTCAAAGACCGAAAACAAATTAGTCCACCAACATAGAGAGAAGAATGGCTTGCAGTGCAATACTATAAAGGTAAGGGCCGTAGTGCAAACAGCTTATCAAGAACAAGAGGAAAAAAATAGAGAATTTCTATCTGTGGTCCAGGCAGCCAGAAAAGCAAGATCCCTTATTGCCTTGACACCCAAAGCTGTAGAAGAGGAAGTGGAGAAGCAGCAGACACCGCACAGTTTACTGACTAACTGTGGTCCAGGCAGCCAGAAAAGCAAGATCCCTTATTGCCTTGACACCCAAAGCTGTAGAAGAGGAAGTGGAGAAGCAGCAGACACAGCAGTTTACTGACTGAAGGAGAGTGCACATGATTCTACTAGTTTATGTTTACAAATGCATACCAACAAACATTTTCAAACTTATAAAGACATCAAAAACATGACCATCTGAGATATCTAAATACCAAACCAACACTTTTAGTTTTAGCTAACTAATAAACACAAAAGGCAAATATCCACCTACACAGATGAATGCTGAGCATACCATCAACACACAAAAACAGGGTATATATTTCCCACATCAGGAAGAGACAATCTACATTCTTTTGTCTTGTGATCAGAAGGAGAATACTGGAGTACATCGTGACAGACGGAAAGTTGAAGGGTTAGTCCGGTTAGAAAGGGGAAGAGGAAAGATGCTGGGCAGTTTGTGGCATCATGGCATGGATGATCAAGTGTATAAGAGTTGACTGAAAGTACACGAGACAGAAGGCTGTGGATAAACATGACTACCATTACTACCACCGCCACATGGCACAGTCTTTGAACAGAAGAAGAACCCAAACAACTCAAATTGAAATAGAGCCCTCACTCGGCAGCCTTGTGTTTCAGTTTAGAAAATTTGTTTTTAAACTTTTCCTTCCTTTTCTGTTTCTCAGCAAGTCGCTCTTCTTTAGTTTTACCTCCAATTTTCTTTGCTTTTTTAGCAAGTCTTTCTTCCTCTTCTTTTTCTGGATCTATGCCTTCAAGAATAAGTTTCTTTCTTTTGTTTATCTCTCGTTTTTCACCAAAATCTTTTTCATCCAGCCTGATTTCTGCTTCTCGTCTGGATACAGCGACTTCGGTGAGAATTTTCATGGCTTCTTTCTCGTCTGTTGGATGTTCGGTGAGTTTAGTGTTGATGAAGGATTCGACCGATTTGGTCAAATGAACATCAAACTGTGTAACTAACGTGATCGCCATCCCTCCACGACCGGCACGGGCTGTGCGGCCAACACGATGGACGTAGTCCCTTGGTCGGTTCGGTACGTTGTGATTGATAATTAAATCAACTGTTGGGATATCAAGACCTCGGCTGGCAACATCGGTGGCAATCAAAATTTTCACTTGGTCAGATTTAAATTTTGTCAAACCAGACAGACGAAACTTCTGAGGTAACATAGAGTGCAGGGAGACACAAGGAAATCCAAGATCTTCACACATCATGGACAGGATCTGTGCATACTTGCATGTACTAGTGAATATGATAACCGAGCTTTTTGGCCGTTCTGTTGTGTACACATCGAGAATATGCATCAGGTAAGCATCTTTTAAATCAGCGTTCATGAGCACATATCGCTGATCAAGCTCTTCGACTGTCAATACTTCAGCAGACTGTGACCAGGAGAATACTTTCTCTCCTGAAGCCGCCTGAAGTTCTCGTATCGCAGGTGTCATGGTAGCACTGAACAAAAGTGTTTGCCTTTTCGCTGGCAGTTTTTTGAAAATGATCTGCAACTGTTCCGCAAAACCAGTGTCTTCTAACAAGCGATCAGCTTCATCAAGAACGAGAAATTTAATTTTCTTAAAACTAAATGTGTCACAGCTTTCATAATGATCAGCTAAACGACCAGGAGTTGATACAACGATGTGTGGTTTCACGTTGAGGTCCTGCCCCTGACGAACCATATCCATGCCTCCTGTGATAACCGTTACATTGATGTTAATTTCCTTACCAAGAACTTTGAACTGATCGGCAATTTGAAAAGCTAGCTCTCTCGTTGGAGTCAGTACCAAAGCATACGGTCCGTATCGGTCTTCTGAAAGTTTCTGAAGAATTGGGAGAGCGAACGCCGCAGTTTTCCCGCTGCCTGTCTTGGCACAGCCGACACAGTTCTGCCCCTCCAAAATCGGACGAATACACTGGCTCTGAATTGGCGATGGTTTCGTTATTCCCATAGATAAACACTGTTTTATCAGCCATTCATCTAGTCCTAGATCTTCAAACGTAGCCATGATTATTTTTTTCTATCACGCTCAGTAAATAACCGGGAAAATCGACGAAGAATATCCACAACTGACGGACCAGCACAAGTCCACCGCCATGTGCCAGAGAGACAAGAATGCTGGGTAACGGCCGCCGGATGTTGTCGTCCTGGGCTCAACCTCGGGTCTCGATGTTGATTTGTCTTCGGATCTCTTCAAGTTTGTTGTGTAGACGGTCTTTTCTCCATTGTAGATATTTCATTCTATATGCCTTCAGTTTGTAGCCTACAAAAACCCCGACGCCGAAGGAACACAAACACAGTAAAACTACGTCCTTCTCAGCCAGCGACATGATTGAAGGCGTGGTGAGCTGTAGTACAGTCGTAGCAGTAGCAGTGTTGCCACTTTTCTTCGACAAAAAATATCCAAAACGGTGTTAAAAAATATCTAAAAAGATCTAAATCTGCGTGGAAAAGATCTAGAAAAAACATCTAAATTGAAACAGTCAAAATTTACATAGCTTTTGTTGTGACTTACCCTACATAATCATGTCCTCACCTTCACTGATGTCTGCCTCACAAAATCCACAGGATAAACTTAGCTTGGATAAAGAAGTTGAAGCTTCAGATCCAAAATGACCCGGGTATGCTTTAACTGTTCAAATTTCTTTATGTGGAACAGTAGGCTTATTTCTCTAGTCTCATCAGGCCGAATTTTAATGGCACGATAGCATTTAAGAGGTCAAATTTCATCCTGTTTTTTAGGTTAGATTTGATATAATTCCTAGCAATGAAAACTCTTTCTACGTCAGCATTTGAGTGGGGTAGTATCATGGCAGACATGGCACTTTGAAGAGCTTACAGAATAGACTGTTTGATGAGGCATCTTTAAATTGTCTCACTTCACACCAAAACGCTTTAGTTTCTGTTTTGTTTGTCCATTCAGCTAACTTTATTTTGGTTAACTGATATTCTGCTTCCGCGACACTATTATCAATAGCCCCTAAAAATGTCATAACTTTACAATATTTAGGTATGTCCTTTATTGGCTGAAGTATGTTGGTCACAGAAAAAAGTGAACTATTTTTCAAAACATCTAAATTTTCAGGAAGTCACTGCTTCAGTAATGAGATAAAGAAATCTTGACAGCGTTTTCTTAAGTTGTTCTCTTTATTCTCTGTTAACAGTCCTTTTGTTTTTAAATCATCAATTTTTTTATTCGATTTAATATCCAAGGTGTGGCTTAGGAGCCAAATAGCTCTCTATAGTGCAAGTGAGCAAATCAGCTTTAGAACCAGTCTTTTACCGAGTGAAATAGCAAGGTGAGATCATCAAGTAATTTAACTTTATCAACAAGTTTAGATTCGAACAGTTTATTAACCTTTTGCACTTCCATTAGAATAGATTATAAAAAGAGAATGAATGACAAATCTTTTTTCATCACTGTACATTCCATATAGTATTTCAGCTGTGTAGCACTTTTCACTTTGTCTTGTTATTTCAAAGTGTGTCTTCAACTTCAGCCATTGCTTCATAATTCTTTCAACAGCTGGTTAAATTGATAACCATCTAGTTTTGCAATCTGACAGAATTTTCCGTGGTATGGAACCATAATTCAAGGCTGTATATAATCTATTGTATTGTAGTTGTCTGACAAATGATTTGGAAAACCAGTAAAGTGTTTCAGCAATAAGGTATTCCAAATTCCTTGGTATATATTGAAATGAAGCATGTGATAATGCTAGCTGCAATGAATGACGCATACATTTTTTAAGTATTAATGATGGGTTAGCTTCCTTCAACTTGGCATAAACGCCATTGTTTAAAACAACCAACACTGAGGCATTATCAGTACCAATTACAGCCAAATTCTTCAAGCCTAACTGTTTGCCGTTTAAAAGGTCCTTCAGTTCCTAAACTATACTTTCTACATCACACTTTTCAAATTGAACTAGTCTTTTTTTTTTACAAATCGACAAAATGGTCACTGTTTGAAATTGCACAGTGACAAATTAAAAACATTGCGACTGATACTTCAACTTTTGATGATTCATTTATCAGTATAGTTCTGAAAACAGATGTCAGCGGTGTAATATCTTTAAATGAAACTGCAGTTTTATGCTTTTTTAGTCTCTGCATGACTCTTTGAGTTTAGTTTTTTCGCTTTAATTTCACACTTGCAGTACTTACAACAAGCTTTGGTCATATCCCCAGTTTTTAATTTTGTCATCCCCCGTGTGGGTTCCGGGGCCCTATTGTAGGGAAAACAAGAATAGACCCACTGCCTCCCCAAAAGCATGTCGTAAGAGTCGACTAACTGGGGAGCTTCCTTTGAAGTCGGAGTGCATCTGCCTGAGAGGCAAGGAACCAGCAGTCTGCACTCAATTGAATCAGATCTGTAAAACTGATGCACTCAGGTTCTGGAGCAGGACTGTAGTCCAGAAGTGGACGAACAACCAGAACTTTACGCCAGAGTGTACAGCTGGTGAACGCGAAGAAGAAGAAGAATTTTGTCATCATGCAACCACTCTTTCCAAATTTTTACTTTTGGCATGTTGAAAGGTTTTTTCAAAGTGAAAGCCACATAAGAAGGTGAGCAATTATTTTTTATTAATCACATGAAAAAGAAATGCAAAGTCAGCACAGTGAGGATGCGGTTGAAACAAATTTAGTATGATTTACGCACGTTTTTAATCAATCAGTACCGGAGATGCCAGATATTTGTGCGTTGACCCCAGTAAGAGTTCAAAGTTCAAGTAATGGCAGTTGTTACAATGTATGTGCCAGACCAAAACAAAAATATTGTAGTAAATCTAGAAAAATATTTACGATCTAAACGTGAGAAACAGTATCTAAATGCAATGAAAAAGATCTAAATTTGGATATAAAAGATCCAAAGTGGCAACACTGAGCAGTAGCACTAAAAAAGTCCTGCAGAAATAGTCTGCTCCTGGCCCTGATGGCATTCACTATGAAGACGTTGCCAAGCTTCCCACGGTATTATCCATGGAGGACTTATGTAAAACCTACAATGACAGCATCTTAAATGACACAAGCCCAGAAGCTGGCTGCATAGCTAATTGATTCAGCTATAAAAACCTGTTACAGATGCTACGCTCATAGCAGTGGATACCAACCCACTGTGGTATTCAAGGAAATGAGAGAGCAGATGAGTTGGCAAAAGCTGGGAGTAATCTTCCACAACCTCATCCACCACACAGCTACAAGGAAACCAAAACAGCGCTAAAGCAGTCTTTCAAGCGGGAGTGGAGAAGGCAGAATGGAGATTACAGACCAGAGAGTGACAGCATAAACAAACAACAGGAAAGAACAAACATCAAAATTTAGATTTCGGACTGGACACTGTGGTCTTCGAGCACACCTGTACTGGATTGGCATAAAAGAATCTGCTGCCTGTGATTGTGGAGCAGAAAGACAAACCCCTGAGAACATACTACAGTACTGCCCTTACCTCTCCCAGCAAAGACTGGATCTGGCCCAAAGGAGCCACATTGCGAGAGAAGCTATGGGGGACCGGTGGCGACCTTAAACGCACAATCCTATTTGTGACCCAGACGGGACTCAATGTTTTGCATTACTGATGTCGAACGCAGAAGAAGAAGAAGCTCCGCTCATAAATGCATAAAGAATCATTACGATGCATTACTCAGTAGGCAAAACAGTGGAAAAGATAATAGCCAGAATTCCAGCAAGTCAGCTTGAGATAAATCAGCTGCTATGCCCTGCACTTGGATGATACTGACAAACACGTCATGTTTACATAATGTTGGAGGTTATCCTCTACTCCGCGATCGAAAATCTGGTCCTTTGGTTGTCTGCTATTTTAACTGACTTGACCCGTATTTAACCTTTGTATGGTGTTTCTTCTTCTTGTTCTTGTTCTTCTTGTTCTTCTTGTTCTTCTTGTTCTTCTTGTTCTTGTTCTTCTTCTTCTTCTTCTTCTTCTTCTTCTTCTTCTTCTTCTTCTTCTTCTTCTTCTTCTTCTTCTTCTTTTCTTCTTCTTCTTCTTCTTCTTCTTCTTCTTCTTCTTCTTCTTCTTCTTCTTCTTCTTCTTCTTCTTCTTCACTTCCTCTTTTACCGCTGTGGGTGTCGAGGGAGATATAAGGTTCTGTTTCTAGCTCTTCTGGCTGCCTCGACCATAAGCACATCGTGCTGTTGTAGAGTTTCTCTGATGTTATCCTTCCATCTTGTTCTTGGTCTACCCAGTGCTCTACGTCCTTCTTCTCTTTCCATGTATGCTTTGTATGTTATGGTGTCACAAGGCATTCTCTTTAAGTGGGCAAACCATTTCACTTGCTGTCTTTGTATGTAATCCAGAATTGGTTATGTGCCGACTTGTTCTCTTATGATCTCATTCCTGATCTTATCTCTTATGGTCACTCCTACAGCCCTTCTCAGACATCTCATTTCCGTGGTTACTAATTTTCTTTTATGGTTTGTTGTGAGTGACCATGTCTGGCACTGGTAGCACAGAGTTGGAATAAATATGCTTTGAATAAGATGTATGGTGTTTCAATTATTGGAAATTAAATAATAACTTACTTTTAAATGATATTTATAATAGTGGGTACATTCCAAATAACCTTTTAAAATCCATATTTATAGCTCTGCCAAAGAAACCAGGCACTTTAAAATGTGAAGACCATCGCACAATAAGTATTATGAGTCACATGACTAAGATTCTACTGAGGATAATTATGAGCAGAATAAGAAACAAAATTAAACCAGAAATCGGTGATGAACAATGTGGATTTGTAGAAGGAAAAGGTACAAACAATGCCATATACATCCTAAGGACATTGTCAGAAAGAACTATAGAAGTAAAGACTGATTTGTACTTATGCTTCATAGACTATACAATAGCGTTTGACTGTGTGAATCGTGAAGAAGTAATCAAACTGTTAGAAAAATTAAACATCATCATCCTCATCATCATAAACCACTTCTGCCGTTAAGCTCCGTGGGGAGGAATAATTTGCGATCCAGTGCACGTTGGCTGCCACTGGCTAC